GTGGCTAAGGATCTGTGCCACAGGTGTGAGAAAATATTCTAATGAGCTATTAGAGTAACTGGCTGAGGGAAAGATTGTAAGGTCAATCACAATACACAGAAATACAATAAATACATTCTTATCAACTCATAACATGAACTGTTAAAAGACATTTGCATTCACAACTTGAAAACAGGACTCCCACAGCAGTGTGTTTCAGTTTGAACCTGAAGAATTAAGCTAGGCTCAATGAATCATAAAAGTGCAAATATTAACACAAGTTTAAACAATCAAAAGCCAATCATGCGTCTTGGTTAACACACACTGCAGTAAGTGTTTGTTTCAGAGAAACAAGAGAAAGATCAAATGAAATGGCAGTTAAAAGAAACAAGTCACAAAATAAAACATGTAAATACACTCTACCGTGAGTGGGCCCATGTTCAGAGACACAGGCGACTGGACCCTCAGCGCTCTGTGGGCCAGGATCTGGCTCCGCTCAGTCTTAACATCATTGCTAGCGGCTCTTCCCCCCACAGTCTTACTTTTAATCCTAGAAACTTTCCTCATGTTACTGCAATGAATCTAGACTGTCCAACAAGTCTTTACGTTTCTCAGGCAGACTACAGGGTAAGTGTGTGGTGTAATCCACAGTTAAATGTCTTTTTAAACCAAGTAGGGGAATTGTCTTTAAAATGTTCAATTGCTGTTTTAGGCTAGGGATGCTCCCTGCCTGACTCACCTCCACCATAACCCCCCTATTTAATATTTGAACTGTCTGCTTTGAGCTGAGGGGCCGGGGAGGGCTTATCCGTGTCGGGGAGTGAGTGACCACCTCTTCAGGAACAGTCCGGACTCCTTCAGGCCCTTGGACGGTGAGGGGATACGAGGGGAGAGAGCTGAAACACAAGTGTCACCTGACCATACTGTCTTTTCGCTTTAGGTTATGTGATATGTAGCTGGCACAGTGCGAGAGTACAAAAACAGTTTTGTTTTGCAGTGACTGGCTTTCTGTAAAGTCTGAGTCTCGTGGTGAGTACAGCATTTGTCAGCCTTCCCCCCCACCTTTGATCCTGCATGCCTGCAGCGAGAGTGAGGGTGGGGGGCATGAGGAAGTCTTGACTGTTTTTTGGGAGGGTGGGGGTTATTTTGATTGTCTTTACCTATCAGGTGTAAATTTCCAGGCACTCAGTTCATTTTGGGCCTGCTCCAGTTTGTCTTTAGTCTGTTCTAGTTCAGCCTTCATTTTGAGGAAAAACAAGTTGATGGCCGGGTCCACCATGGATGACCGCAGTTGGGCCGCACTCGGCTGCTGGACTTGCTTGAGGTACTGGATCTGGGTCTGCAGGATAAAACAAACAGGTGTTACTGACCAGTAAAGGGTAGTATGTACCGCTGTTATGCAGTATTTTAGCCTGACCAACCTTCAGTCGATAAAGCTACATCAGCAAGTCCCCCCAAAATCAAATAAATATTCTGGTTCTAAAATCAATAGAGCCTCAAGAGCAGAATTTGGTCATATCAGATTATTAAAGATGGGGACTCTGCATGTTACTTTTAAAATAGTATAATCATTCAGCTCTGAACAGCATCTAGATTTATATTAAGGCAAACAAAAATGTGGTTGGATTATAAGTCCTCATCATATCATATTACATCAACACCACGTGAAGTCCATATCAAAAGCTATTGTTAGATATGAGTTGCTGTCCTAGTCACATACAGCAAATCCTTTCCATTCCAGGCAGACAAACCAAGCTCAAAACAAACAAAATCCCACCTGCTAAACTCACAGCTAACATCACTTCAAACTTCCATGGAAATGATTTGCATATATTTACATGAGGCAAGGGTGTAACCAATATGCCCCAAAGCTTGAACTAATCTATACTGGCTCAACGGTTAAAAAGGCAGGAAACATCAAGGTCCCAAGTCTAAAACCTGTGTGTGTGTGTGCGTGTGTGTGTGCGTGTGTTCACCTCAGCTGCCCTGGAAGAATGGCATGTGTTGCCACAAAGCCACCCAGTGATCTACTGAGATGTCAGTCAGATAAGAGACAGGGGAGCCCTCCTCCACACAATTTAACTTTAGCCTACATAGCGTTATAATTGTTGAATACAATTTAAAGTGTAGTGCTGAAATGATGTCCATTAATAGATAAGCTGAGATATTATAGGTTCAGTTTTTCAAGTGAAAATGAACAATACATGTGCTGACTGGAGTGTGTTGTTGAATTTTCTTGATATTTGCAATCTCATATGAATACATAGTGTTCTTTATGCCATTGATTAAACTTAACAAGCAAGTAAAAGACTAAGTGAGTTGTAATGAGCATTAGTCAATAGCAGAGGTTTAGCCAACCTAACAACACTTTATTTTAGAAGATCGAATAATCAATCAATAATTAAAAGTTAGCTGCAGCCTAAGAGTACCTACTTTTATTTAAGTTAAGTAAATATAGCTCAGTTATTATTTATTATGTTTATTGGACTACAGCTAGTCGCCAATCTAAAGAGATCATCAAGTGTTCTATCTTGCTAAAAAAGCAAGCTCCCCATAATCAAAACAACAGCTTTAGTAAGGTGGATGAATATATATATATATATATATATATACGTACTGTGCACTCTTGCATTTCCTGCTCCTTCGTAGCAAGCCGCATCACCAAGATGTTCTCCCTCCGTGCTGACTCCTGCTGCTGCTGCTTCAGCTTCTCCTCAGACTCCTTCAGCCCTGGCACATCATTGGCTAAGACGGCGAAGAGAGGAAGAAGAGAAAAGGCATCAGGAGAAACATCCCTTCACAAGCAACCAGATATATTGGTTATAGCTGTCAGAGGACACATGTTGTGGTGGATGCAGCTGGTTCACTTACAACATAGCTCTGTATATTTAGCCTCCAGGACCTGGACATATGCTTCGTGTTGTTTCCACCTGAGAGGAGCAGAACATGTGTAAACATCAGCAGCTCAACGTAAACAGATCAAGTTTCCCCACAACATAACTAATCTGCTATAGTAGAGCTGTAACCTACCTGGTACACAGCTCCTCTCTGGTCAGGGTCTTCATGTCAGACTCGCTGAGGCGAACCTGCAGAGAGCAACAACAAGAACTGGTTAGATGAAGAAGCTTATCAATTATTAAAGCCCATATTTTGACATGGAGGAAGTCGCGACACATGGTAAATAAACTAGAAAACACGCTCACCTTCTTGGGGAGAGGCTCCTCGTTGGTCATTTTGAAATCTAGAAATGAATATAGAAGAAAAATCAGCATTAAATACAGCTCGTGTCGAGTGTTGATGGCTGCATCATCTTTAGCGGCAACTCGGAGCCTGTGCACGCAGTAAAAATATGACATGAATGACAAGTTGGCTATTTGCTACAAGTGTTGTGGTTTCCGACTAAAAACGGATGCTTTATGTGTGTGAAGGGCAAGCTAACCACATGGTCGACCATATAAAAGTGAACATTACCAATCAGTAAGGGCTGTCGAGCCTAATGTTAGCTGGTGTGGCAGGGCAGCTATGAGAAGGAATATAAATAAGCTAACAAGGTTAACTACTGAGTGCTAATAACATTTAGCATCCGCTAGTGAATTAAACATTGGTTATGAAACTACAGTGTGAAGCTACAATAATTGATTTATGTTCAGCCTGGCAGCATGAAATTCTTGGCTCTGTTTTCGGCTCCTTGTTATCACAAAATGGCGGTGAAGGAAATGACTCCCTCCCTTGCGCTCCTTTTCCTGAAACTAGCGGGCTCTTGGCTGCAGATTTCGGGCCTTCAGCCATCCAAACACTCACCAGACGAGTTTATCTCGATGATTCTGGATCCTCGCGGTTTCACCGATTCTCAACAAGACAGAAGATTGCAACTACGTTAAAATTGGCAGTGGATTTATGTGTAGTTGACTCGCTTCGGCGTAATCACCATCATCTTCGTCACTGACTGCCGGACAGAATGGCTCTGCTCTGCTGCTGCTGCAGAGTGAGCCTGAGAGGAGGAGAGAGACAGACCTCTCACTCCGCAGAGGTTTCAGGAATCTAAAACGTGGCTGCGACGCATAGATATTAAGGGATAGCTCCTCGGCCATTTATTCTTTAAGTTCTATTTGAAGTTATTCACATACATTTAGTTTCTCGTTGATTATTTTTAAGATTTGGAATATGGTATTTCCTAGAGCAGTTATTTTTTTAACTTAAAAAAAAAAAATGAATGTCTCTGTTGTAAAGTTAATATACAAAGGGAAGCTAAGTTAAATTTGTTGGCACTGCCATGCTATGTAACTTTCTACCCCATTATATGTTATAACATATTGTATATCGGGATGTTTTCTCAGTTCCCCCTGTTGCTCTTCCTGGGCACATGCCACTAAATTGAGAATGATGGAAATGTATGCTTATTCTGTTATTATTATATTTGATAACGTAGTCCAGATGAATTGCAAGGATAAGCTCTCTTTATACGTCTTTTTGGTTGTGAAAATGTACCTTACAATCACACACACTGAAGTGTCGATTATTTTTTATTTCTGAGTAAATCATTTCCCTCAATATAGACGATCTTGGATATTGATCGATCCATTTGTAGAAGTGGGTAGAAGAAACGTTCACGTGTTCCTTTGCTGGTAGTTTTGATAAATGTTCTAAATTGTTCAGCCTACTGGTACAATTACCACGTTTATTATTCATTGTATTATGGATAATTGAATTACTAGGGCATATAATGTTTCTAAACATATTGAATAGACTTGAGCTGGCTCTTTTTTATAACAAAAAGTGCACCAGGGAGTTGATCAATCTATAACAAGAGGAAGGGATAACGGGGATAACGTACATTTTCTAAAATGTTAAACAGATATTTAGATGTACCACGTTTTCATGACCCATGTCATCATAGTGGATAACCTGCTATATCTCAAAAGTGGCTTGAAATGATCTCAGTTGAGGGTTATCTCATTCCTGTACACTCTCGTCAACACCCCCACAGTGCGATAATGGTATAGTCGGCTGCTGTCAAGTTGAAATCGCACATTTCAAGGGCAGTAACCAGTAACCAGTGAGACTACTCGGTCCTGTTTATCCTGCAAGCACCACTGTGAACATGCTGTGCAGAGTTGGCCAGATACGCAGGTAAAACAGATATCAACTTACCTTTTAGTGCCAATACTGCCATGCTCAAAGAGCCCAAGGGCTGTTAGGATAGCTAACTCCTGCTAGCATTGACTGCTCATGAACTTGGGGCAGTTGTTGTGTTCAGAGCTAACACTGAGCTAGCCAGGAGGCTAACTTAGTTTAGCAGCACTGCAAGGCTAGCTTGTGGCGCAGATGATGAAGAATTGTGTAAAACTATAGCGTAGTCCTGCTCGCATTGCCTTCGTTGTGAATTGTTAATTGAATGCTTTTATGTTCAGACACACATATTCATACTTAGCTAACTCGGTGTCACCAGCTTCAGTTTATATTTAAACACCTGATAAATTTACTGTAACGTTATTCCACAATAAACAGCATATATTTAGGTCACTTCAACCTTGTTGCCAAAGTGTTATCAAACGATTGAACCTCCCTGTGCCAGGCTCTCTTGGGCTAGTACTATTCATGTTGGCTAATCCACTACAATTAAAGTTGTATTTTAAATCCAATGGTAATGGTTTGGGCCGTTTTTGCTCTGCTTTGTTCCAGGTGTGCAGCCAGCCTCAGCCAAACTTTAAACCTGGTGGCTGCATCGAGGCAGAAGCACACTCTCCCTGACCTGACCTACGACTATGGAGCCCTGGAGCCCAGCATCAACGCAGAGATCATGCAGCTGCACCACAGCAAGCACCATGCCACATATGTGAACAACCTCAATGTTACAGAGGAGAAATATCAGGAGGCACTAGCAAAGGGTACAAAGAAACACAAACTCCTGTATATTAAATAGCAGGAAAATTGTAATCTAAATGTGTACTGTGATTGAAACATCTGCACGTTTTCTAAAATAAATCCATATATTCAAAATGTTTACTCCTATTCACCTTCTGCATGTGTTTGGCTTGTATTTTAGGAGATGTGACGGCACAGGTGGCCCTCCAGCCCGCTCTGAAGTTTAATGGAGGCGGCCACATTAACCACTCTATCTTCTGGACTAACCTCTCTCCTAATGGGGGAGGAGAGCCACAGGGTAAGGCAGAAATTCATCCAATATCTTAAACAGCTCTCCTATTTACTTTACACTGCTTTAATATGTAGTTAACCTATATCTGCATCAATAAACACATGAATCTGTAAAGTTAAAGGTTTGCAATTATTGCTAAACCTACTGCAAGGGAACAGCCAACTCTGCAGTTCTTTGCAGCTTAACGCTCATTGTTTTTGGATAATCCTTTACAAAGACTGTCTTTTTTTTTTTAGTCTTACCTTACCACCCATTCAAGCACTCAATAGCGAGCCACTCCCAGTGAACTAGCGCATACAAGTTTTAAAATACACTATCGTCCCAAAATAAAACGGCAGAAACTTAAGTAAATATGTGGCTTGTGAAAGATGTCCAGTCCAAGATGTGTTTGAGGATTCTGCAGACTTAAACAGAGTTGACATTTAAATGACTATTGGCTTAACATACATTCAACAGGTTGGGAGGAACATGACTGATCAACCTGTGAAGCTGAGCTCAGCTTTGTGTTACACTTTGTTTTCCTTTGGCATTCTGCCCCCTACTGGTCAAAAAGGCTACTTAGACGGGTCAAATGGGGACATTAATTAGTAGGCAAAGTATTATGTGATTTGTGCTAAAATAATTGTATTTGGATTATATAGAAAATATATATACTATGTTAAATTTAAGTATATTGAAAATTATTTTTATGATCCTAATGTTTAGCATTGCTTTGAAATAGCACCTGTCTGTGTCCCTTGTTGTAGGAGAGCTGATGGAGGCCATTAAGCGGGACTTTGGCTCCTTCCAGAAGATGAAGGAGAGGATGTCTGCGGCTACAGTGGCCGTGCAGGGGTCAGGCTGGGGCTGGCTGGGCCTCGACAAGGAGAGTGGAAGCCTTCGTATCGCTGCCTGTGCTAACCAGGATCCCCTGCATGGAACTACAGGTCAGTTAAACAATGCTTTGAAGTAGAGGTAGTGTAATACAAATTATGAAACGATACCTAAATCATCCAAGAAAAGTATGAAATAATAGAGGACAGATGATGATTCTTAGTTTTCTTATAATATATACGAATCAGACAATATTTTGACAGTGGAGGATGTGAAATTAATAATTGTACTATAGTGTGTTCATGCATTTAATATCCAACTAAGACTAGAACACTTTAAAATAACAGTAGCGCTTTACAGTACATGTTCACATCTCTCCACCTTCAAACATGGCTGCTAATAACGGGTTAAATCCTTGCAGCGATAATTGCAATCAGTACTGAATGCTTTTTTGTTGTTGAGTTGCCTCTCAGCAAAATGCTCTGTGTGAATATAAGTTCTCTCTCATAAGCAGTGATGCAATGTTCATGTCTAGGGCTTTTATTGTGAAAGGTAGAAACGGAAAAAGAGGCTGTAATCCGTAGAAAATGTGGGGGCAATAAAGAGTTTGGCGTCTTGGCTCAGACTTTGGAGCCACTGTAATATTATTGTATTGCCTTCATAACTCATAATCCTTGGCTTGGATACAGCACTATAGTGTGAGCCGGCTTTGTTGGCAAGCTTTGGACAGTAGCTAGGAGCAGATGAGAGAAAAACATGTCCACTGCATGGAGTGAGAGTGGAGCGCTGCACATACACATACACATACACATGCCCTGCTGTTGCACATTGCCACAACTCATGCATATGCTTTTTATTAGAACACTGTTCAATTATTGCTAATACTTGAATGTTGAAATGTATATGTTTAATGGCAGGGTAGTGTGATAGCTCTTTCAGTATCAATATACCTTGTAAGACTAAAGACTGTATGACAGAGAGCACTCGGAGTAATTGTTTCCTCTCTCTGACCCTCAGGTCTCATCCCCCTGCTGGGTATCGATGTTTGGGAGCACGCCTACTACCTTCAGTACAAAAATGTGCGGCCGGATTATGTTAAGGCTATCTGGAATGTCATTAACTGGGAAAATGTGAGCGAGCGTCTTCAGAATGCCAAAAAGTAGAATGTAATCTTTAAATATCCTCAATAAATCCTTTCACCCGCTCCTGGACTGGGTCATATAGAAGTTTTGAACATTGTTCAGTTTGACAGTGCATTGAGTACCAATGAGAAAGTGACGTTCTTGGTATCCAGGTTAACTGTATTTTTGACTTTCACATGATCAGCTGCACCAAAGTTGATTTAAAATAAATTGTTGCAGATTATGTTGCCTCCTTGGAAAACACACCACCCTGCATGCATACAGGTTGAAGCAAATTGAAAGAAATTATTTATGTCTGTTCCCAACCTCCATACCTTTTTCATAAGCGCACAAATTAGCCTTCTTTCACATCAAAGCTGGCTATTGTTAATCATGCTGAAATATTGGCTGATATACATGTAAACTAGGCGTCAGGTAACCAGAGTGTATATTCAGTGAGCTCTGTCAGAATAAGTCAAACTTAATCAGACAACGTTATTGCAGTCCATGATTTTGATGTATTATAATAAAATTATATTTCAATTGTACAAACGTGATGGTTGGTGTTGCACTCTTCTTTTGTCATGTTCTGTGATAGATAATCTACTAAAAAGCTAATGTTGGAGAGCTTAAACTAGGGAAAACCAAACAAAAACAGCACTATAGTATCTTGGAGGCTTGCGCAACATTTGGTGAGGCATACAGGATGATTAGTGACCAGTCCACTCCAAAGAGCTCTTCCTGGCTGTGTCCATCAGGTGCTACACAATGGCTATCAACACATTCTTTCCCACTACTCTATGTTTTCCTTAAAGCATAGCCCAAGTTGGCTTCATTCCAATCAAAATATTTTGTCTGGAAAAGCAGCTTGCTGATAAACCACAGCCCTGCAGACAAAGTCATTTCTAGTAACAGGGTTTACATTATTTTGAATGGCATATAATTTATGACCAGTATTATTAAAAACTCATGAACCTGAACCATCAGAATCAAAACAAACTTTCTGGTCACACAGTAGACTGTTTACTTCTGATGTACTTTGCTTCTATGCAATGTCACCAAAAGAGGGCAGTGTTTCCCAAGGTTACAGCTGCTATGACCCATTGAGTGAAATGCACACACATTTCTGCAAAACGGCTTATTATAGAGTGCATTTAAATGATGAATGTATGAAAGTTATATGTTCATGGTATTGATTCAAACACACTTTAAAAAGATCACCGCCTCTTTATCCATACGACGCACAGTACATTTCAAATGGATTCGCTTTACATAGTGCGTGTTTTATGTTTTAAAATATCTAAAAGGTTGCTTTTACTCTACAAATAGTTTCTAGCTGCTTTATCTCCTGTGATTTAAGCGACTGGATTGAAGCTCTTCCTGTCAGTGATTGAGACTGACCAGTTTCACATTCCTCACATTCTCCCTTTGGTGGTGTGAGGGTGTAAAAGTGAACTGGTTATCAGTGGACAAACACATGGTGACCAGACTCCCTTTATGTTGTAAATTATGTAGGATTATGATTGTCAAACTGAATACGATTGAAACAGTTCTGATTTAGACTATAATGCCTCGAGGAATTGTTATATATTGGCCTAGTTTGACTCTTTGTTACACGGTAGTGATTGTTAAATCTGACCTACAGGCCTTCTGGGACTTCCATATCAAAATATTACTCATGTGGGCAGAGAGCATCTGCCGCAGAAGAGCTTGTCTGACTTCAGACTGCTTTGGGAAGCACGACTAAAAAGATTTATCAGAGCCATAAATAGAAATAGACATACTCTCATTTGGGAGACGTTGCCAGTCTTTAAAAACAGAAGTCTCCCCTTTTCTAAGACGACGGTTTGTTTAAATGTGGCCTACTTTTTGCTCTGTAAGACTTTGGGCGTGCCAAAAATTATTTCCCTCTTCCACAACTCGTAAAAGCGATGGAACTCAAAGTTTCTTTGACCTCTGGAAGGGAAGAAAGGAAAACATTGGGACTGAGTTTAACTCTTCCTCCTCCATACTACCTGTTCTTTGCTGTTGTGCTCTTTCCTTTTGTCATACAAACGTCTGAAAGCTAAACACATTCAACTTTGTGGCTTATCCTCTTCCCTGTCACGCACTTGAGAGAAGTCCATCCTACAGTTCCTCATGTTGAGCAACGTTAGAAAGATTTTCATGTGCAAAGAAGAAGAGTGTTTTGTTTAGCTCACTTCCAACATAGTTTCACACACTTTGGGAAACCAGAGCTCCGCTGTTGGTGCGGTTTTCTCGGTAGGCGCACACAAGCGTGCAGTGAGACTCGCATTGTTTCACATCCTCCTTTTATTGACAGGTCAGGAATAGAGTGTGCATTTTTCCTGATAAGATTTATGACCTGAATTACATTTATTTTACAACACAGTTAATATTGTCCTACATTTCACAGATACTTTTAGTGTTGCCAAAAGACATAAAGAAACGTTCACATCGTTTATTCACACTAGTTTCAAATATCTATGTCTCTAGCTATTTGTTGGGTTTTTGAACCGAGAAACCATGTTAATATTCTGACGGTCAGATGGAAGCCTTCAGATGATCGGACTGGGCAGATGTAATACGTCTACAGCAGATTAACAGTCAGGTGTACTTAGACGCCAGGAGATACATATGAAGTTTCAAGAGGAACAGGGATTATGGAATATTTCAATTTATTTGAAAAAAACAAACAATTCTCTTGTAAAATTATCAACCCGGATACTGTGTCACTTATAACACCTAAAAATGTTATGTTGCGATTGAGAGTGCTTGAAATGTCATGTCAGCGAGTGGAGAAATATAAACAATATGCTTAAACTAACAGAGATTCCAATAAATGGCTTAAAGTAATACATACACAGCTCAAATAATAAGCTATAGCTAATACATAAATGGTTAAAAAGTCCAGTCAAGTGGTAGTAGTATTAATGCAAGCGAAACCAAACCAACACAAATATTGAACGTTCAATTTGATAAACGGTTATGGTCACAAATACAATTTTGTATGACCATTTCTTTTAAATAGCATCGAGTTTAAAATCCATTTAAATCTGAAGGGAACTCAATGAGCTGACCAAGGGCAAACGCCCTATTTCACATTGTTTGGAAAATTTGAAATTATTTGTGTTCCCTATCCAAAATGTAATGGTTTCTCCCTTAACGCATGCCACACCCTTCCACCAAACTTCATGCAGATTGGGCCAGTTGTTTTTCCGTTATCCTGCAAACAAACAAACAGGCCAAACTGAAAACAAAATTAACATATTTGTGAAGTGATGGGTTAGGATTGGAATGACGTACTATACTGAATTCAAACTTGCAGAGAAAGATTACTTGTAATTATCCTCAAAGCAAATCTGATATCCCAGCTCTGCATACTTGTCATATGACTTCTTGAAGGGAAGTCTTCAGTCTCCAGCCCTTGCAGCTTTTAGTCATCACATTTCCAGGCTCCAGACGATCCTCCGCCTTGCAAATCTGTCCCTCATTGTTCCCTGATGTGAACTCCTCGTGCTGTGTGCCTACACAAGCTGTCATTGTCCCATTTGGACTGGAAAGCCATTATAAAAAGTGAAGTGTCAACATTAAGGAGGTAACACTTTCCAGTATTTGAGTCCGTTGTTCCTGGCAGAGAGGGCGATGGAGCTAAATTCGGGGCACCCGTTTGGGTCTGAGCCCGAGTCTGAGTGCTTTGGAGAGGGAGCTGTGCACCAGGCACTGAGAGCCAGGAACCAGACGTTTCATTGGGGGAAGAGGCAGCAGGGGTTTGGGAAGCTTTTGATACCTCAGCCTGACAGGGTGATTGATTCATCACGGCTGCTCAAAACACCAAACAGACAGAGAAGCATCCTCGAGGGCCTGAATAAAGTAAAGGTGGATACAGGACATTTCATCAACTCTGTATGACTTCTGCCTCTGTTTGTGTTTTCATCTGAGCGTTAACATTTCGACCTGAAAATCAGCTTACTGTAAAGAAAGGAGAGGAAAGGATTGTTTTGGCAATAAGGCGGGACTGTGTCTGGTTAATTCTTCTCAGTTATGTAACAGTCGCTTGCATCAGTGAGTCGAAAGGCTTGAGGACATCGTTCAGGCAACAGAGTGTGATAAATCACTGCAAGCTCGAGGTCATTCAGGTTTATGTGGGATTGATCCAAGGTTGGAAAATCCATGAGGAGATCACTGACTTTCTCTAGAAAAATACATTCCTCACTGCCAAATGTAGCTCATACAAGGACACAAACTGTTACCCTAAGATCCTTGCATCCATAAAATGAACAATAATTGCTCATTCATACTCAATAAGCCTAATTTCTGCGCTAGTTTGTGGATCATTTCACAGACTTCCAAATCTGTGAAACTGGAGCTAAATCTTTAAAGCTTAGAAGTGAGAAGCTTTAAGACGCAGACACGTTTTCAGTTGTTTGAGTGTTTTTCCTTTGACGATACTTTCCCTTTCCATATCCATACTTTCTGAAGCTGCCTTCTCCATTTCTGTATTATTCATCTTGGCAAATACTGTTGGATTCCGATAAAAAAATCCTGTTGGATTCAATCAAGGAAGCGGATACGTTTTTTCAGAATTTGGCCATCTTTTCTCATCTTTTGCTGAGAGTCAGCACGATGCAAATCCTCTTTGGCCGGCTCACAGGATGTCAGAGAGAAAAAAGAATCTGAAGGATACCCAAATACTAGAATGTCTTATAATTCAATAAGGTGCCTTCAAAGTGCAGCACAATTGACTTCCTGGCTAGACTGGAGAAGTCCCTGCTCCATGTTGTGTCTTATTCAAAATCACACAAGTCTCTTCAGGTGGAATCTTAGGACAGAAACATCTTCAATAACCATAAAACACACAACCTCTGTCCTTCATTTCCAGGTATCCACAGAAGTGGCTGAAGGTGACAGACTGTAACAAGAGGGGCTTTGGTTTCTTATATAGGAATGTCATAAAACAGACTAAACTTGCCATTTATTACCATGTGCCTGAAGCATTTACTCCTGATTTACTAAAACATGGACCCACATTTATGCCACAAAGAGTAGGATTAGTCAGATGCGCTTTGTTAACTTAACATCTAAAGTTGGCTCCTTCTCTGCCCTCTGTGGCTCAACAAGGGTTTCAGTTTTCACTGTGAGGTGGAAGCCAACCCCTTATTCAGTTCCCCATATTACTGGTTTGGAACAAGCGCTGTTCACTGCTCACTATATTTTCAGTTGTTTTCAGCCATTTTTGTAGTTTGCTTGTTGATTTGTGCTTATGATTTAGCACCCAGTTGCTATGGTTTATAAAGATTGATGCTCAGAAACAGAACAAATCCAGGCCGAGGGCAGGTTCTCTTCAGATACACACACCACCACACACTCCTAGTGAGTCATAAGTGATGAGTGACGGATTAGTATTACGTGAGTCTATGCATTGTATTTTAAGAAAATCTGACTCGTCGTGCCTTCAAATTTGAGATTATTCTTAAATGGCAGGTACATTTCAATCTGTTCTAGGACGATGTAGCATCAGACAGTGAGAATTGTTTGGAAAATAACATGTCTGAAC